GATATGAAAGTCAATGGCGACAATGTTGAGTGTGTAAAAAAGATGAAAGTCACACTAGTGCCAGTTAAGTAGAGCATACTGAGGATAAGACAAAGAATATAATAGAAATGATATCCTCTTATCAAAGTGGATTTTCTCGTGAAATGCTATAACCCCTCCTGCAGTAGCTAAGATAAATTACTTAACAATTAAATGTCTCCAATCTGTAATTACTTAGATCCATATACTGAAAAATGATAACATTGCATGCCTCTGGATTGTGAGTTGTCATAAACTATGTACTCATCAGTCTCATAGAATATTAAGGAAAGGACGAAATTGTCTGTTTTTTATACAAGCCGGCCCACATTAACAAATACTGCAAGCACTTGCAATTGATTGGGTTTTAATTGAAGAAAAGAGTAATGCGGGGTATGGTTGAGCTTTATATTCTTTTCTTTTCTTTTTCTATTTCATTTTTTATTTTCTGACTGTACAGGGTTGACCTTTATATTTCTTACGCTCGTTCTTCATATTTATTTAGTACAAGGCCGCATGTTTTTTGCAATTTACATGATCAGAAGAGATAATGATACAATTTAAAAACTTAAGATAAGATACCATTCAGTTCAGATATCATTTCTCTTGGCACTTAGACATGGAGGAGTGTTTGGCATGATTATGGTAATATGGTATGGACTCATATTTGGACTGCAGTCAATTTAATCCAAAATCTAAAAGTAGGATGTTATACCTATCAAGTTCATATCACACTTTTTCCTCTAATAATCTCTCCCACTTACCCACTTCACCATCACATTGTTAGGTTTATGCTCTTTTACCAAAGTCCAATTAAGCTCAATGTATGATAAGAGCTCGTGACACCTAGAGCTCAAAAAGCTTAGGGGCTAGGGTTTGTTTGTGCCCATATAAATTGTTTCACTTTATTGCTGACAGATTTAGAAATAAAACACCAGAGTGCCTACACACTCACCCCTTCCCCTAGAGAATAATTTGAAATATACCACCATCCTCCAAAGGCCATCTCGGAGACTTATTTGTGCATCTTGTTCATGCTGTGATGCAGAGGGAGCCAGATCATGAAGGAGGTATGTTCGTGTTGTGATGCAGAGGAAGCATGATCAAGAAAGAGGACATTCTGTGGCAGTAGAGACGAGATGGATCACCACACCTACACATGGGAGATTTCTCGTGGTCTGCGCTGCAAGAGGTAATTAATGCTTTGTATCAAAGAACGATGATGATTCATAGCACACCAAACCACAATGGTCTATATATACATTGTCACAGATCCAATTACGCCAACAATTGGTATCAGAGCCAAATTGTGTGTTTGGGTTAGAATTCCCCATGTTGAATTTTGGCAACAATTTTTCCAATGTAAGTAGCGTAACGTGATGCCTACCCACATACCCACATATGTTTTCAACACTTCATCTCTTTATTTCTGTTCTTGGTGAGATCCAAGTTAAGATTGATTAATCAATCGTGACTTATGAAACTTGTTTAAAGATAAGCTTTGTTCTGGCCTGCCCACACAGGCCCAGTATGATGGGTCATCGTACAAAGGCCCAATTAAACAACATCTCATAAGTGAGCTCATAGTCCTCACCGTAGGGAATTTCCATCTCCTCTGCACATATCACCATCGTTCACCAATGATGGCAAGGCAACACATTACAAAGTTGAGGTATTAGACCAAACGGGGTAAATAGAATTACCTATGTCAATTTTCCGAGAATCCAAAAAAAATTCTTCTACCAAACATCCCCTAAGAACACTTCAGAATAATTCCCCAAAAATGGATTACTCAACATCTTTAAATCTCTAAATTTTATTTAAATGAAACGGAAAATCTTTGGTTTTTTATATATCTTGTAATGAGAAAACAATTGATATCAAAATTGCATCTAACTGTGGGAGAAATTCTTAGACAAGCACAAACTATTGTCTTCTCGTAAGCATTCAAATCATTTAATTGCATGTGTGAAAATATTTTTTAAGATAATTGCATTTCTATTGTGATCTCCACAATTTTACACATGTTAAATAATGACTTGAGTTTCTTTTTTTGGATACATTGATGGGAATTAAACAGACAACTTAATACAAATTATCCAAATTCCTCAAAATTCGATTAATTCTCATGGCTTTAATGACTTAAGTTTCTATGATAAATTATTCCTAACTAAGAAGTATTCCTAGTTGTGCCCACTATAAAGAGAATTTCATATTCCATATAATAATGGCTTGAGTGCCTATGATCTCTCTTTTATTATTATTTTATTCTACTTTAAATATAATAACATTAGTTGTTAATGTTAGTCGGACAATATCTGGGTTCTATAAACCGGACCATGTAGCACTCACTACTCTTTAAATCAATTTAAATATGATTAGACCTTGCATGATTTTTTATTTTTTTTGTGGATAAGTCACAGTTATCCTCCACATGAAGCAATTCTTGTATGATACCTTGGATTAATTGGAGAATGATGAGCCGCACTAATCTTCAGTTTGACATGATTCAAGTGTGGATAGGAGTGATAAATGAGGCACGGGCCTTTTAGGGGTCTTTGACTCGGCTCGTGAAGGTCTGAGCTTACATGCTTAATATTGATTGTTGGAACCAGGCTTGGACTTATATAAAAGTTCGTTTAGTAAAAAGGCCTCAGGCTCCAATTCAAAAGCTCGGCCTTGGAGCCTCTCAGGCTGGCCTAGTATATTAATTTTTATTTTTATTTTTATTATTTGTAATAGCTCTCTCTCTCCTCTCAATTCATTTCACCCTTATTTTATTAGTTAAACAGACTTTTTGAATGATTTTGTTTTATATTATGTTGTTTCGATATACATTGAATTTATGAATATTTATGGAATTACTAGCGTTGTTGATTGTATATTCGGATTGGATAAATTTTTATTGTCTTATTTTTTTTTACAGGCTAAATCAGACTTTTATTTTTTGTAAATAAGGCAGGCCACATGCCGATAATTATATTCGTAACAGGTAACAGACTTGTTGTCGACACATTTAATCACAGACTTAGTCTTTTAAGACCAAAATGTTGCACCCTATGCTTTAAAATATTTTAATGATGACACAATTGATATAATTAAATTACAAATCCTAACAACCTTATTTGTTGATCAAAAAACAGGATGATTTTTGTTGGGTGGTTACAGCATATCAAAAGATTGTTGAGATTCCAAATCTGAAGATAAGATAAAGCTTGAAGTTGTTGCAGTCAATTGAAGATAAATAGCAGAATCAAAATTTGAAATTAAGAGATAAGGATAAAGTCTAAACAGCATTATCATGGGAGCAAAAGTTTATGAAATTTTTTTACTATATATATACTCATGCTCCAATAGTCTCACAGTGAAGCAGCAAATGAGATCTAAATTTTTAGCCTAAGACTTGTGTTCTTTATTAACTTTTTTTACAAGCTTAGGTTTTAAGTGCTTCATCGTCACCTTTTAGCTTTTCTAGAAGTATTAGTAAGGTGGTTCATTTTAAGTTGATTTTTCTCCGTGTGTGGAGACTTGCTATTGTTGGTAGTAACAATAGGTGTGGGCTTATCGGTGGATAAGTGTAAACTTTGATTTAAAGGGTTGAATCAAAGTAGTGTGCCTCAAGAGTAGATTAGGATCTACTTGTACTTGAGTATTTTGGCTCATTGAAATTAGTGAAGTTTTTTTAAATCCCATTGGATTGAAATCCAAGTGGGTCGTGGTTTTTTACTCCTATTGAGCCTAGGAGATTTTTCCACGTAGAAATTATTGTGTTTTTTTTATTTGTGCATCATTCTTGTGATTTCCTTTTATTAGCAAAAATTAGAAAATTATATTAAAAATTATATTTGAATAAAAATAAAAAGGAGAGATAGGTGCTACTACTCAATTCAACCCCCCTTCTTGAGTACCACTGGGACTAACACAAAACTCGGCTTGGCCCGTTAACTCCCCTAAACGTAGACTGATACTTAGGATTGAAACCAATTTGACTCCAAATTAGTAAGCTCTTAGGTCTTTGGTCCTTCTAAGCTTATAAAGCACACTTCTCAAATTGCTTTTCTTCTGATTTTTTACACATTAAATACAAATATGTACATGAGTTTAATTAAAGGAATTTTAAATGTTAGGTGAAGCCGTGGAAATTTAGATATACAGACTACTTGTTTGTATAAATTAGTTCATTTTAAGAATTGTGCAACTTATTACCAAAAAAAAAAAAAAAAAGAATTGTGCAACTAGAGTTGTTGACAAAAACTTTTCAAGAAGGATACTTAATGAGTCTATACTAAACTGTTCCAGAAAAGTCGAAGTTGAGAAGCTGAGGTGAAAATTTGAGTTGAGATTGTAGCTCCATGTTGTACTAATGTCTTGCACTATACAATTAACATAAAGAAAAAGAGAAGACCCTCAACATTTCAAGTGATTATCGAATCTGATATATTCATAATATCTGTTGGATACCCAAGGATTCTCCAAAAGTGATAAATTTTGTTCTATTTCCACTTTTTCGAAGACCGGATTAATGTTCTCCCTGTTAAGTAAACGTTAAATGTTACTTTAATGTGTTTGAATTTGTTGGTTATGGAGTTTATGAGTCATGAGGGTTAGCATTAAGTTTAGGAGTTTTGAAAGGTTAAGAGTCAGTCATTATGTTTTGTTATTAAGTTTGGTTTTAATTGTGGTTTATGGCTATTTAGTGTTGCAGTTTTAGAAAGGCAAACTATAGCCTATAAATAGTCTAGTATATTGTTTGAGAAATACAGAATTGAGAAGCAACGAAGTTTAGTAAAATATTTCACAGAAGTTTGTTCTCTTTCTCCACAAGTCCTCACGACATTCTTGAATAGTTGTTTTATTTGTTGATTTTGTATTTGAGCGATCCTAAAAATTGGTATCAGAGCTATGGGGAAAAAGAGCGAGTTAGAGGTGCCACTCTTCCATGGAGATAAGGATGAAGCATTAGATTGCTTCTCTGTTTGAAGGAACATTTTCGGAAAGGAAAAACCTGGACAGAGGACAAATGGCAGGTAGCCATGAGAAGACTCAGAGGAAGCGCAATCAAATTGTTCCGTACATGGAACTGCCGCGACTTTAATAATATGTGGAAGGATTTTCTAATGGCCGTCGTAACAAAATACTTGCCTGGACGGTTTGATCTGATTGATGAAGAAGAAGATGAAATCATCAATGATGATGACGAAGATGAGGAAAATGATGCGGATGAAGAAGAGACCGAGATGGCAGAATCCGAGGTTGCCAACGGCAACGCATCCGCGGAGGAGATTGACGTGTCGAGTCGCGTAAGAGACGACTCGGAGAAGTAGACGATAGAGATGACTGCGGCCAAGGGAGCCGAGATAGAAGAGGAGGAGAACGAAGGAGCCGAGATAGAAGATGAGGAGAACGAAGGAGCCGAGATCGAAGCGGAGAAGGACGGGAACGACGAGTCCATTGTCGAGGTAGAAGACTTCGTGGAACCTGAGTGTCTGGAGACAGAGTCGAAAATTGGAAAGGAGATTGAGAAGCCGAGGTGCTTGATGGAGACCAGCATGGAGGAGACCGCGAATCCGAGTTCCGTGTTGATAACCGGGATGGGGGAGATCCCGGCAAAATCACCGAGTTCATGTTTTGGAGAAGAGCTTGACCCCGGCGTGATGAGGTTGATGTCGGAGACCGACATAGGCGCGTTTCAGGTTGGAAATCAGAAGTCGGAGACTGCATTGAATTCATGGTGGAAGTGGAAGATGTCGACTCCACCAAAAAGAGACCATTTCCCTGGAGGACGGTTGTCTGAGATTCTATCGATGAGGCGCATGGAAGCTAGACTTGTTGAAGAAGAACCCGGCGATAAAGAAACTGAGAGCGAAAAAATGGAAGGTGCATTTGAAGAAAATGATGTGGTCTTGAAGAGAAAAAGAGGTTTTGTTGACAATACCAATGATGCAGAAATTGGGATTGGACGAGGAAATAAAATTGTGATCACAACTGATGAAGTGGCAAATGAAACTGAGAAGAATTTGGGTGACGAGAAACTTGCAGGTGAAGAAGATACAGCGAATGGAAACAAGGAAAGTCCTGCTAATGAAACTGAGAATATCAAATTAAAGAAGCCACCGGATAAAATAAAATATGTTCAGAAAAATAATTGCAGGGGAAATATTGTTTTGAGTTAATTAAGTTGGAAGGTGTTAGATGTAATTAAGTTGGAAGGTGTTAGATGTTTCTTCTTAGTGATCAAGATTGAAGAAAACAGGCGCGATCAGAAAGTTGAAGAAAAGCAGAAGCAACACGAAGAAAGAAAGAAGCATTTAAGTTTACAGGGGAGTTTTGTTAAGTAAACGTTAAATGTTACTTTAATGTGTTTGAATTTGTCGGTTATGGAGTTTATGAGTCATGAGGGTTAGCATTAAGTTTAGGAGTTTTGAAAGGTTAAGAGTCGGTCGTTATGTTTTGTTATTAAGTTTGGTTTTAATTGTGGTTTATGGCTATTTAGTGTTGCAGTTTTAGAAAGGAAAACTATAGCCTATAAATAGTCTAGTATATTGTTTGAGAAATACAGAATTGAGAAGCAACGAAGTTTAGTAAAATATTTCACAGAAGTTTGTTCTCTTTCTCCACAAGTCCTCACGACATTCTTGAATAGTTGTTTTATTTGTTGATTTTGTATTTGAGCGATCCTACACTCCCTGCCACTATTGGTGCTTGATCTTGAATCCATGGATAGTAAATTTAAGACTGTTACTTTTAGCTAGTAGTTGTAGAATACGGAGATAAAAAAACTGGAATAGAAAATCATTTTGCACTTTGTTACAACAAAATTGCATGACAAATTAGTGAAGGTAAAGTGCATGCTTGATAAGCCATTATTAGGATTGGTCTAATATGGTAAGGAATTTTGGTAATTTATATTAGGTTAGGTATTCAATTTTCACCATTTTATCCACACACAAAAAAAGTCCTTGCTTGTTTACGCCATACTCCCTCAATGGATCATTCAATTGGAACCAATTTTCTACCATTTAGCTAATAAGCAAAAATATAATAAAAATCAAAATATTTAATTATGATCTCATTATATTTTTAATTTCTCTACTTTCTACCCTATTAGTATTGGAGAAAAGAATTCTTATATTATAGTAGAATTCTTTCTCTTGTTAGTGAGAGATAGGGATGTGCAAAATAATCAAAAAACTGAACTGAACCATAAACCGAACTGAACCGCCCCTTAGAATAACCGGTTTTTAAAAACCAGTTATTGAACTGAACTGGTTTTTAGAACCAGTTTAAGAACTGAACCATTTTGAACCGAATTGAGTTGTTTCTGAACCGAACCGAACCGTTTTCAAACCGAACCAAATTGATTTTTATAACTTTATTTTTTAAATTTTGAATTTTTTTCTTTCAAAAGAGAGTCGACCCGAACCGGTTCCGAACCGAACCGTTTCTGAACTGGTTCCAAACCGAACCAGTTTTGAACCGAACCGAACCACTTCCGAACCGAACCATTTAAACTAATTCGGTTCGATTTTTCAAAAAAACTGGTTCGGTTCGACCCATGCACATCCCTAATGAGACATCAAATTGTGTGCAATATTTTTTAAAATGAGTAATAGGATCCACCATATCTTGTGTCTATAATAAGAGAAAGAAAATGAATCGTGTTAATACTTCATGTATTAACACTCCTCTGGCAAACATTATGGGCTTGTCGTTGGTGCTTACCCAAAGACATGAGGACCACTTCTCCATCAAAGTCAAACGTTATAATAAAAAAAAACGTTATAATATATGAAAGGTTCACAATTATTTTATTTTATTTTTGTGAAAGTTATACTTCTTATGGCGTTATGGCATTGTTGCACAAACACATTGAGGGCTAGTTTGTATTCTCTTTTTAATAAAGTCTTTTTTATCACTTTCTTATTTTAAAAGTACTTTTTATAAAAGTTACAGCTATTTAGATTTTTTTTAAAATATTTGATTTTTGAAAAAAATATTTGGCTTTTGACTTCTGCTTTTTTTAAAAGCTAAAATTTTTAGTTTTCGAAAAAAATAAGTTTTTAATTTTTTTTATGACTTCTGTTTTTTTTTAAACAGACATCTAAACAGACTTTTTTCGAGAAGTGTTTTTTTCTCATAAAAAAAACAGCTTTTGAAGGAAAAAAAAAAATCAGGCTCTGAATATTACAAAAGAAGCACGCTTGGGCAAGTCAAGTGCGGCGCAGAAGACAAAGAACAAGTTGTTTTCCAACGTCAAATGGGCATGAAAGGTATGACCTAAAACACTAGGTACACCTAGAAAGGACAAAACTTGTTTCCAAGCTTATGACTTTAATATATAGGTCATGGGTGACCCCAATTTGTGTCATGCCCATGGTTTCTGGCAGAGATTGGAGAACAGGGGTAAAAGGATATCCAAATAGTGGGGATTTAAAAAGGCTCAAGCTTTATAAGTCTGTCCAAAGTTTAAAGCATGATTAAGTTCATCAAACATCAACTATTGGTGAATTAATGACAGAAAATTTGATTTGAAGTCTTAATTGCCTAATATATCATATGCAAGTGAAACCCAAACAATTGTTTAACCTCTATGCTAATTTCATTTATTATGACATTTTATGCAGTGTCATATTCATTGTGATTACAATTCAGGCCTATAAATATGCATAGTTTTGCCTTGGAGACTTTGCACCGGCTCCTCATCAATTACTGTGTTGTTCAAGCCCAAAAATTCTTCATAAGATGGCAATGTCAAGGTTTTGGTTGTGCACGATCTTGGTCTTGTACTCAATTGTAGTTTCTGAACCTCGTTCTCTCCCTTCATCCTTTGGAAGCCATGCTACCAAATCAGATTTTCCATTGGGTGCTGATGGAATTTTCGTAGTGGTTTCAGGACTAGAAAGAATGCAGAACGTACAACATGGGCCAAATCGTTTGAGTCCTATGGGTCCTGATCCGAGGCACCATTGATGAAGATTTTGGGATCATGAACAATTGCTCGTTGTTGTTGTTAATAATAAATGTGCACTTAATAATAAAATTTTGATACTAATTCAGGTGCGGTAGTTCCTTTAGATTCAAATGAGCTTATATATATATATAGTTTAATGTTGTTTGTATTCAACTGTTGTTTTGGGGCTGGCAAATTACTTGAACGAAGATGAAACATTTACATAAGCTATTGTGATTAATTTCATGTTCAAGAAATCAATTTTTTTGTCTTTAACCTTTATATTTGAGTTTCTAATATAAATTCTTACATTAAAATGTCACAATACTCGTTTTCACTTTACATGGTGTAAAGAAACTCGAGTTAATTCAAAGGATTGGCTTAACTATAAATATATAATGTGTGAATAGATATAAAGCTACAACTTACAAATTTAGATTTAACTATGCCAAATATTTGAAGGCCCACTGGAAAAAATTTCTTAGTTTTGACATGAACGATGTCTTAATCGGCCACATGTATCAATAGCCATTGGTAGATAAGTTTTTTGAGTTCAAATTATGGATACAATTATGTTAAAAAGTTGGTATGATTTTTTTTTTTTTTTTTTTTTTTGAAAATACTCCAATCGGTTCATTGCTTCGCAACTAATCCGATTCGAGAAGGGTCCAGAATTAAGGCTTTAAACTCCTCCCAAAGGTGGTACTGGAAAAATTCGAACATATACTCTTACCCTCACCTATTTAGTTTCCATACGCCAACTAAGCTACTACCATTTAGTAATTTAGTATGATTTTTGTTACCCTTATAATTCTGCCCATCTTGACAGAATTAGTGGGGGAACAAATGAAAAGGTGGCTCTAAAAACATATATACTCGGGACCCTCGGAAAAATCTTTAAAAAAAAAAAAAAAAAAAAAAAAGACCTTGGAGTTTATTTATGGAAAAAGTGTTTATCTTTTTAAATGACACAACTTATATCATTTCACTCTCATAAAGAGGTGGAACCCACATTTTTATTTTTTTTGTCAACTCTCTCTCCTTCTTTATTTATCTCTTTTTCTCTCTTAAAATGACATAACTTTACATCCTTTAAAATAACACACATTTTTCCTCTATTTATATACCCTTATACCAAAATATTTAACAAATGGCTGATACAGTAAAATCACATTAGCTCAGATTCTAACCTTAATGGCAAACTGGGTGGGCCCGAGCTTCTTAGGGGTCAGTATAAGATTCTAATCGTCATACTCCTATTCCACACTTGAAGGAAAATAATAGCCTTAAATTTAACCCAAGGTTGCCATTTGGGAAAGAAGAAGATTTCCATGTGGCTTCAGGAGTCGAGGGAAGAACAATGGGCCCAACGAA